TTTCAAATTTTTTAACAATTCTAATTTTTTTGCCTTCTATATAAATGTCATGTGTATATTAAAACTTTTCTATTTTTTAACTACTTTCTCCCTGGTTCTTTAATTTTTCTAATTAAAATTTTTTTTAGATATTTTCCACCCTTTCTTCAACTTTCCTTATTAAATTTCATTTAACTCTACTTGCCTTTTTGCAACTTATAATTTATTGGTTGATACTTTTTTGTTGCATCTTTTTCTTGTTTTTTTCTTTTTGTTTCTTTTGTTTCCTTTTTTTTTGGTTTGGTTGTTGTTATTGTGAGCTGGGGTGTTTTGAGCCCTTTTTCTTTGTTTTAAAATTTCAAATTCCTGATTCCAGGTTTATGCACTTGTGTGTTCATGAATGCATGTGTTTGTGTGAATTATGCTTAATGCTTGTCGAGGTACTTTATTCAGTTTTAGAGTACCATCTAAAAATTTATTTTTGTTTCGTAGTTAGTTATTTGATGAAAATTTTTATCAGCTGAGATGTTTGCATTTTTGATTTCATGTTTTCTTTCTACAAGAATTTCATATGGAGTTTAATTTTTCCCCTATTTATCAGCATTTCAATGACTGAGTTACTGTTTCAAGAACACTCTTTCTTGTCAGTTTGTGAAACATAGTTTTTAAAATGGATGATGGTGATAGTGGAGTGGGGAAAGTGGAGGAATGGAGTTAACCTTTCGTGTGTGTGTGTGTGTGTGTGTGTGTGTTTGTGTACACACTTGTTTTCTATGTCTACCTGACTCATTTCTCCCTCTTATTTTTTTTTTTTACTGTGATGTCTCTGAGGAATACAACTCATTCTTGATTTATATTTTTCTTTTATGGAAATGATACTTTTCTAAGACTTCCACTTTGAATTTCACTTGGTCTTGAGTTCCGTCCCTATGGCCAGTGCTGTGAACACCAAATACTGATTTGTGTTTATATTTTGGCACTTAGTGTTGTACTCTTTCTCTATGAGGGTGACTTTGTATTTTGTCTATGTTCTAAAGTCTCTTTCTTTCTCTCTTTTATGGAGGCTGTTAAGCCTTTCATCATCCTCTCTCTGCATCCATAGACTCATGGACTATTGTTGAACTTTTACTGTTTTTGATTTACAAGTAATTTGAAGTTTGCTATATTCCCCGCTTCCTAGTAATGCTGATGATATGGGTCATATCTGAGGTAATTTGTGCTTCTTGGTGACCTTATAGGATTTGCGGGAAGGATGTAGAGAGAGATTTCGATTCCAATGATTGCCATTATTCCTCATACTCAGAAGCTTCTAGAATATGCTGATTTACAGATCAAAAGGTACTCTGCAATTCCTAATACATTTTCATCATAATGGGGTACTTGTGGGAAAAATTGACATTATAGTGAAATTATAACTTACATGATAACTTTGTTCTCATAACCATGACAATAAAAACTCTTGGACTTGGACAAAGTTCTCAATAATTATTTTCTTTCAATAAGTGAAATATGGGAACAGACATAAAAATCAGGCTGGACTTGGTGGTTCAGCCTGTAATTCCAGCACTTTGGGAGGCTGAGGCAAGTGGATTGCCTGAGCCTGCGGGTTCAAGACCAGCCTGGACAATTTACTGAGACCTTGTCTCTACAATAAATACAAAATTATCTGGGCATGGTAGCATGTGCCTATAGTTCCAGCTACTTAGAAGTCTGAGGCGGAAGGATTGCCGGGGTCCAGCAGGTCAACGCTGGGGTGTTTCAACACTAGAAAGGATACCAAATAATTATTGTAGTGCATGGAGTACCAGAACTGGAAAAAAAAGTTAGAGAAAGCCGAATCCAACCCAATGTATCACGCTACAGACAAGGCTAAGGAAGATGAAGTAATTTGCTCAGGGTTACCCTATAAGTTATTAGTAGGGATGGACTTGGAACAAATTCTCCTGGCTCCATGACCCCAGTGCCACTTCCATTAAATGATCCCATTTCTGGTTCAGTCTTTAGCAGGTTAAGCATCATCATGACCTTTTTCCTGTTGACAAAATAAATTATATCACCAACCTAAGTTCTCATATGTAGCAAGTGGTGAAAGTAGGTGTGCAGAATATTAAGAGTCTTATTGTACAACTTTCATTCATTGTGCTACATGTACTACCTATTTTGGCTGGCTGCCTTTTTCTCTTTCTGCGTTCTCTCTCTTCTCACTTAACTAACACCTGAAATATCTTGGATCAAATAATCGGGTTGTTGTGTCCTCAATAGAGTTTATATCAAGTGTAAGTTCATTTGAAAGGGATGAATATGGCTCAGAATTTTGATGACGTAAGTTTACAGGTCTTGTTGAAAACAAATCTTCACCATTCTGCATTTTCTCTGTATCTCCTAAGCAGTGCGAGGTTTTGGACTAACTGAACCACCCAGCTTCTGACTGCTTGAATATCTCACTCGCTGTGGTAGTTACCTGACTATTGACAAGAGGCTTATCCTTCAAATTCTTCTTCGGGTGCTCTTGAAATATATACCTCCTGTATGCTAGGGTTGTCTCTTGTTGAATTTTCTTTGTGAGTGAAGGACAGAATGTTCTTCTTTGCTGCGCCAATAACACTTTCCCATATACACTCAGGGAAAGCTTTTCCCCCTCTCAACAGGGCTCAAAAGTCTTGACTGGAGCACTTCAGAAATAGGCCTGGCTTATACTTTTATAAAAACAAGCAGAGTCTGGGCAACTCCTAGCTTGAAATAACACTGATGAATTTCTCCAAGGCAAGTGCATGGATGGTGCTACCAATGAACGTATGTGTAGTACTCAGATCCCCACTCATAAGGCACTCATGAGAGTGCAGGTGGTGTTTTGTGAAAAGAGATGCTGGTATTCACTGAGAGAAAAGGCTAATGGCACGCGGAAGGTATGATGTCAGAACTGGACCTCCGGATTCCTTGATGTCTTCTATCCTACAGTATCACAGGGAGAGAAGATTTAATCTCTCTCTCTCTCTCTCTTTTGATATTTTGACCTCACTCTGTCATCCAGGCTGGAGCAGAGTGGCGTGATTAATGATTACAGCTCATCACAGCCTTGAACTTCTTAACTCAAGTGGTCCTCCTGGCTCAGTCTCCTGAGTAGCTGGGACTATAGGCATGCCACTATGCCTAGCTAATCTTTTAATTACTATTATTTTTTATTTTTATAGAGACAAAGTCTCATTATGTTGCTTGGGCTCAAGCAATCCTCCTGCCTCAAAGTATTGGGATTATAGGTGTCAACCGCTGTGCTGAGCCTAATTTTTTTTTTTGATGGAATATGCTGACAGTCCATATGTATATATGGGAAATAATTAAAGTAATAATTAGAAATGGTAATGGAAAAATCTCGAACCTGGAATCTGCTTAGGACTCTGTCCTGAGCACACTCTACTAGCTTTTCCTGAATTTCCTGAGAGATCCCTGTTTACCTTATCTCTGTCCTGAGAGTCCCAGGCTGAACTGCCTGTTTGTACTGAAATGGGTGGAGTCAGGATTTTTATTCCTGCTTGGGGTGGGCCTAGTGGGAAAGGGAGAGTTTGCTTTGTCCTGTGAAGGTCTCATCACGGACATGACAAGGGGAGAACAGTGGAGCCTAGGACTTTTTTTTCTCTTCCCTCTATAACACCACACACTCCCACCCCTCTTTCTTCTGGGGTAAGAAAAAAATTATAAAATAGTCTTATATGTGTGTTCCTGAAACTGTGAAGCAGTACCTGCCCCTTCTCTGTAAATCTAGCTCCCACTGGATTTTTTTTCTTTCTTCTTCCATAACAGTGTTTTTTTCTGAAGTGTAAAAACCATGATTTGCAGTGCAGGCTTTGAGACCAGATAGACTGCAAGGTGGCACTTAGTGATATTGTTTACTCATCTATCAAATGGAGCTATATTACCATCCAGGTTGTTTTGAGGATTAACTGGTATAATGTATATGGAATGATGAGCAGATTGTTGCTAATTGTAGCTCATAGTAAGCTCTCAACAAATGACATCTATTAATATCATACCAGGTAATCTCTATACAGTGCCCTAGAATTGTGGTTGGTGTTAGACAACCAAAAACAGATAAATTATTCTATTATTGATTTTAGTGGCTCGTGAGGCCCTTGAAACTAAGCATTCTCCCTAGGGAGAGCTGCTGAGCATTTTACCCTTTCTTTCTATATCTGACCTAATTGGCTGGGTGTAGGTGAGCAGTATAATTCCAACAAGACACAGCATTGCCTGTGGCTCATTTTTTTTTTTAATGATTCTACATGTAATTGTACTTTTACTTTAGAAAACAATAAGCCCATCTTAGTCAATAGGCCCAGTTCTTACATGGGATAAGATTTTTTAAAAGTTTCATTGCAACTGAATTAGGTAAGCACTTATTAACTCTTCTATCAACTATCCAGCATGGCTTTTGGGGGAGTTAACAGTCTAGTATGAAGATTAATTTTCAGCATGTTGGTGCCTTAAACTTTAGTTTTTGTTTTGATTTCCTAATTTAAAAAAATATAGAAAGCTAATAGAAATAAAATACGAGCTTTCTGTGAATCTCTCTTGGGCAATACTGTCAGGGTGGTGATGAGGAACTTGAGTTTGAATCTTAGTTCTGTGACCTGCTAACACTGTGACCTTGGGCAAATCACATTCTCCCTTTGAGCCTTAGCTTTCCTATCCAAACAATGGGAATACTCATAGCACCATTAATGTTTACTATTAGAACCTGGTGCGATAATTTACATGAAGCATTTCATTCAGTGCCTGGTATTTCAGTCGACGTGTGTTGTTTTTATTTTTTATCTCCTCCTCTCAGCAGCTAAAAGGATTTTCTTTGGAAGCCTCTAATGAAGTGATTCCGAGTTAGGTGGCACAGCCATAGTGCTAGAGTGAGTCTTATTTGGGGGACTCCAGACAGTATGACCTTAGGGTGCTTGGAGACTAAAGTCTTCTTCTTTTAAAAAAATTGATAGATGGATTTTTGAAATGGACTTCTCTGCCCCTCTCGGTTTCAGTATTCGGGATTTCACACGGAGAGATCGGAATCTGATCACGACAGCCAGTGGGGCGGCAGTCCCTTGACCGACAGCGCCTCCCCGCAGCTCCTCGACCCCGCGGACAGGCCGGGCTCCCAGCACGACGCGTCCTGCGCCTACAGGCAGTTCTCCGACCGCAGCTCGCTCTGCTACGGCTTTGCGCTCGACCACTCCAGGCTGGTGGAGGAGAGGCACTTCCATACCCAGGCCTGCGAGGGGGGACGGTGTGAGGCGGGCAGGTATTTCCTGGGCACGCCGCAGGCCGGGAGGGAGCCCTGGTGGGGCTCTCGCACGGCCCTGCCCTTGACCAAGGCCTCGCCCGAAAGCAGAGAGGCCTATGAAAACAGCATGCCGCACATCGCGTCGGTCCACAGGCTCCACGGTAAGAGCTGGGACAGGGCCCCTGGGCGGGGTCTCCCTTCCTGGGTGTGGCGCTGGGGCGCTGGCTGGCCCACGTAGCTTTCCCCTTTGATTTACAAAGCAGGACCGAGGCGATTTAAAAACCCAAGTCCACTCTGTTTAAGTGTATTCGTTTTGCACGCGCTGGTCCAATACGGATTTTTTTGGACAAGTGAGTAAACACGATTCCCATTTTGAACATCGAAGGTATAGGAATTAAGTTAATTATTAAGTCTATTAAATTAGTAGTATAGACACTTAACATTTCTCATGTATTATTTTGTTCTGTATTCTCATGCTTCAAATGTGGACTTCAGTAGTCTGTGGGCTCACTGAGGCAGAACGGTGTTTCACAATGAGGGTGCTGTAGATACGTTGGAGAGGTCTTTGTTTTATGACTATCACACATATCACAGATGTTTAACCTCTCTGAGTATTAAATGCCAGAAACTGCCCCTCCTTCCAACATTATTATGATAACCCACAATGCCGCCTGTGATCATGTAAAAGATGGAATGATAAATAGAATCCACTGAGATTTTTCCCCTTACAATTATTATATATATGGCTTTACAGACACATCAAGGTGGGCACTACAGTTAAAGCCTTGGCTATTGGTAATGCTCCTCTTTGTTCATTTCAAAGTAAACTGGTTCAAGAGAGCCCGTTCTGTCCATTTCAAGCTTGGGTCCAGGTTGGCAGGTCTTTGAAACTTTCTCTATTTCATTAAAAGTCAGTGACATTAGGATTGATTTGAGGGCCCTGATAGTGCTCTTCTTGTTTTTACAATGAGAAATGTGCTGGACAACACTGTCTTCATTCATAAAGTTTCCTGTCAAATACCACTCAGACACTGGGTAATCTTAATCTGTTTCTACTTTTGCTTTTTATTTTTCTGATTTTGCCTCGAGTGTCTCTAGTTTGGTAGACTGGTAATAGAAACCCGGAGCAAAGGGCAATTTCTTGCCAAAGAATAGAGTGAAGTGAAAATCCTGACTTAACCTGCAGGGTCTAGAAGAAAATATTAGAAATAAAATAAGAAGAAAAGAGAAAAGGAAAGCAATGAATAGTGTGATCCAGGGTTTCTCTGCTGCATTAAGCAGTTCAAAGCTTTTCTATATCCGTACCTGTTTCTCTTCTCTCTTTTTATATTACCTTCAGGCTGTTTTGAGAATAATTTAGTTATGGAATATACTTCGGATGCATTATTTCTTCATGTTAGATCTCCGTTGTTCAGAAAAGATTGCTATTAAAATTATAAATATTTGTTTATTCTTTACCTTATCCCAGAAACAATCTAAGATGCCTGAGTTACTATATGGTTACCTATGAAACTGATGCATTTACCTCTAGATGTGATAACATTTATATTCTGATTGGAACAAGATATCTCTATCTCTGTCTATCTTTAATGTGTCTACACCTCTATCCATTCATGCTGCATATACACACATATCTACAAATATGTATATTTTTGAACCTTCAGATTCTCTAAAACTAATATTAGAGTTTGTTGTAACTCTACCTAAGATACACTTAGCAGTATTTTGACTTTTTGGTGATTTTTTTTTGGAATTGAGAGAATAGTTCAGTTTATACAATTGTCTTCCTCAGACCCAACTGAAAGCATTGTGTAAGCATCAATTTAACATGACACTGCTCTAGAAAATAATAAACCAATTCTATGCATCCTCCTTTAATTTTCAGCCAGATGGGTCCTATAATATGTATATATGGAAAAGTATAAACATACTTCATCATTTTGCTAATTGACATTCACAATCCATGAACAAGGTTTATGTCCTAAGTAACTTGTTACAAACTTGATCTGCATTTAAAATACACTGATTTTGACCAGACTCGGTGACTCAGCCTGTGATCCCAGCACTTTGGGAGGCCGAGGTGAGTGGATTGCCTGAGCCCACAGGCTCAAGACCAGCCTGGGCAACTTGGTGAGATCTCATCTCTACAATAAATTTTAAAAATAGCATGGTGTGGTAGCGTGTGCCTGTAGTTCTGGCTCTCTGGAAGGCTGAGGCAGAAGGATAGCTGGAGCCCAGCATTTCAATGCTGGGGTGTATGTGAGTGTGCCATAGTGCTCTAGTCTGGGCAACAGAGGGAGACTTCAACTCAAAAACAACAAAAAAAACAAAACACAAGTGCACTGGATTCATATTTTATATAAATCCAGTGCAAAAAGTTGACATGTTTTGTATCATGTGATCCTGAGTCTGTTCTAATATTGTTGCATATGTTAAAATGAAAGATATAATGTTTATTTTAACAGGAAAAAATCCACACATTTTGGGGTAAATTTGGAGACCACTCACTTTGTACTTTTTCTAATTTCTAGGGAGAGGTCATTGGGATGAAGACAGTGTGGTCAGTTCTCCAGACCCTGGGTCAGCCAGCGAATCAGGTGACCGATATCGCACTGAGCATTATCAAAGTAGCCCACATGAACCCAGCAAAATTGAAACTCTGATAAGAGCTACCCAGCAAATGATTAAAGAAGAAGAGAACAGATTGCAGCTAAGGAAAGCCCCTTCAGACCAACTGGCTTCCATTAATGGAGCTGGGAAAAAACACTCCCTCTGTTTTGCAAACTACCAACAGCCCCCACCAACAGGCGAAGTCTGCCATGGCTCTGCTCTTGCCAACACATCACCATGTGATCACATCCAGCAGAGAGAAGGAAAGATGCTGAGCCCCCATGAAAATGACTATGACAACAGCCCCACTGCACTGTCTCGGATAAGTAGTCCCAACTCGGATCGCATTTCAAAATCCAGTTTGATCCTCACTAAAGACTATCTACATTCGGAGACATCTCCTCATCAGACTGCAGGAGACCATCCTGCAGTCTCTCCAAACTGCTTTGGCTCTCACCGGCAGTATTTTGATAAGCATGCTTATACATTAACTGGATATGCCCTGGAGCACTTATATGACAGTGAAACCATTAGAAACTATTCCTTGGGCTGTAATGGCTCACACTTTGATGTAACTTCTCATCTGAGGATGCAGCCAGACCCAGCACAGGGACACAAGGGAACATCTGTTATAATAACCAATGGAAGCTGATTTTTTCTAAAATATTTTGTTCTTTAAGGATCTCTGAAACATATTTATAGTTTAATAATACCCCATGACCAGCCTTGACTATACCACAGATTGTTAGAGAGGGTAATTTAAGTTACTGGGGATTTGATATGTGTTCCTATAAACACTCAAGAAGAAAACAGAGCACTAGCATTCAGGGTTATACACAGATAACAGAGCTAAACTGATCACACCAAATGCCCCGCTAGTTGTATGGGACCCAAAATAGATAAATTTTGGGTTGAAAAATGCTCATGTAGATCAAGTTAACATATACACCACATGAGAGGACTGATGAATGACAGTATTGCACTGTGATGATCCGATGATCCTCATGTACACAGACCACTATTTACAAACTGCTGTATACACTTTCCATGTAGAAATGTAGAACAAATGCCATAAAAACACCCCCAATGGGTAACTTTCCTTGACTCTAGCACATTAAGCTTTTTAAAGAAATTTTCATTTCCAGAATAACTAAGAAAGAGAGAGAGAGAGAGAGAGATCTTGTAAACTGGTTTCTTCTTTGTGGTTTCAAACCAGCCATCTCATCTGGCTCAGGTATAAATTATAGAAACGGTTCTGGATATGGTACGGGAATGCGTTTTCACCTGGTATCCATTATAAGCAATCAGGAAGTGATAATTTTTCACCTTACTTTTGAATTAGACAAGGACCAGGATTGCACTGAATAGAGGTAAGAGTTTTTCTCAGTAAAAACACTGAGATGTTGGGACACACATAAAAGATCCGGTGTGCTCAAGTTTAGCGAAGATAGAAAGACCAGAGGCAGAGTGAAATAAAATGATATCTCCAAACAATATCAGGGCTCAGATTACATAAACAAGGTATTTGGGACTTGCTTATGAAACCCACCAAATAAAACAGTCAAACCAATTAACCAAGAAAAAAGGCAGATGCAAAAATAACTAAGAAAAACCAATGTAGTGCTACATGTATTTATAGTGTAAGTGTTTGAAGACATTTCAAAGCACGGATGTGCCAATATGACAACAGTTGGAAGACTTCAGGAAACAGTCTGAGATCAAGCTTAGGCTGATAGACAGGTGGCTAAAAGTGTAAGAGTCTGACTCTGACTGAAGAGACAGACAAAGTGTTCATTTACCTATTGTTTGTAAACAATAAACTTGGTTTGGCATCTGTGTGCTATAGTAAAAAGGCCCCACTGATGAGCTCTCTGGGTTCCAATTCTGACCCTACCTGTAACTTAGTTTTGTGACCACAGATGCATCATTCACCAAACTGGGACCTAGTTTCTCAGTCTGTAAAGCAGCTCCAATGTTCCCTAGCTCTGTGGTACAGCAGAACAGAACTTGTTAAATAGCTAACTCTGCTATGAGTTGTCGAGACTGATCGTTCTAGATTTTCTGCACACACACAGAGGTCTAGATGCTTTGTGACTTATGCAGGTGTGTGGACTCTCTTAGGCATGCATAGTTACACTTAACATTCTAGATTCTGTCAAAATGTAAATGGTTGAGATTTATGAGGGAGAAGAAAAATAATAAAATTTATTTAATATGCTGTTTTCTGGTAATCCAAGCAAAATGACATAAGTGATTAGAGAAGTTTTATAGACATTATTTCCTAAGAGTCCCTTGCCTGGAACTCTTGCCATATTCAAGAAGGGGAATGTACTGGAAGAACTTGATCTATAATTTTGAAAACAAAACATGACATTGAATACTCAGGGATTAGTACTATGTTTTCATCATTCAACACAGTACTTGACAGTCCATAGGTAGGTGACAATCTGAGTGATGATAATATGAAAGATGAATATTGGGTTGTTTGTTCAGGAAAGAAACAGCTACTTAAAATTAAATAAATGTAACATTTGAGCTATAAATGCAAAAAAGTACAAGAAAGTGAGTAAGTTAGTGGTTAATATATATTTTTTCAAAGAAATTCAAAGTACAGTTGATCCTTGAATAACTTGGGCTTGAACTGCATGAGCCCACTTATACATGGCTCCTTTTCAACCAAATGCAGATTAAAAGCACAGTATTAGGGGAAATGTGAAACTTGTGTATATAGAGGGCTGACTTTTCAAGTAGGTGGGCTGCTCACAGCTGACTACAGGACTTGAGTATGTGAGAATATGGTTATAGGAGGGCAATCCTGGAACCAATGCCCCATTTATGCCAAGGGATGACTGTATAAGAAAAATTAAAATTTGAACTACACAAACAAAAGTCCTCAGTGCTTTTGAGAAAAAATATTTGTGAGAAACCCCTGGAATATAGCATGAATTTTTAAAAATCAATTTGAAATATAAAGTAGTATTCTAGGAATGCTAAAGGTTTGGTAAAATTCTGTAGATTGGCAAATGTTTCAAGACAAGTGTCTGATGAATATGGTATATTTTGGAAAGTAAAACCATACATAGGTTTTACTGATGGATATTCCTTCTATCAAATGTGTCAGGGACAGATGCTGAAAGAGAAATGGAAACTTAAGAACCAAGGAAAAGAAAGTGATACTGAAGGAAAGGCTATTACTAAAGAAATTTCAGTGAAATTTTTGTATGGAGGATAGTTAATTGGTGGAAAGAATAAAGTATGAACTCCACAGATAGGAAGGATTCAGAAGGAATATTGTTCAACATGGTGTGATCAATATTTCTAAGGGAATACAGAATTAACTAGATTCCATCTTAATTAAAAATTTTGGTAGACTGACCCAGTTTTAAATACCTAGCCATTTTTTAATTTATTGAATGTCAGTACTTTCATAGTAGCAGTTTATACATTACACATAATGCCTTATAGGCTCACAGTATTATGCAGCCTACATTTTTTGAAATATGGCATGATTATTACTAAATTACCCCCTAAGACATTTTATGACAGAGTACCTTCTTAATATACATGTACATGTGTTAAAATGTATTTATAATCTTCGTTATTTTGTTCTGTACAGGAACATATTTCCTCATAATGAAGATGTTACACGTGTCTTTCAAAAATACAGGATGTATAATGAAAACGTTCCCAATAACTTAGTCAGTTAAAATTAAAATTACGTTGGCTTAACTTTCAATCTTGATTTCCATAACTTTGCTAAATGCTGAGCACCATGAAACTTGGTTGAAATAGAGAGAGAAGTATGATTTTTAATATCACCTTGGAGATTCATAAAAATGTGAATGTGCTATATCCAATTCCTGGTACAAAATGTAACAATTCAATAGATGATACACAGTTCATGCTTTCTAGTAAGAAATAGTAAGAATATCTTTATTGCTCATTTCTCCTGCCCTGCCTAATTTAAAAGTTTGGATGACCAAAGAAATACATTAATATTTTCCAAATCTTTCTTGGTAAAATTCTGTTAAAGTTGTTATTGTGAATACACAGGTTTGATGTATTATTTTTGAATGCATAATAATAGTAATGTCATTATCACAACAGGTCAGATATTTAGGTATGCTTCAACTCTGTCTTTGGTCATAAAATGCTGAATATAATGTGATAGCTTTTCTAAACTGTAATCACCTGATAAAAGATAATATGATAGTACTGATGTGACATTCAAAATGAGATAGGATGCAATAAATAATTTGCCTTCAGTGTTTATACAGAAAAACCATTTATTCTTTCTTAGTTGTATTTTATAGGACCAGAATATTTCCATTGGGTACTCTTCCTAATTCACACTATATCGTGTGGCCACATGCTGCCTCTGGGAGAGAATCCCACTTAAAATAAGCATTAATGGGATTTTCTAGAAAAGGATAATATGCTCCATTGTTCACTTTTTTTTAAATGGAGGATGAAGATCAATTCTTATATATGATCATTTGGAAAATATGCATAGATTTTTAAAAAATGAAATAAAAGCCCTTTTTCCTCCCAAGATCTGGATTGAATAAGTTTGATAGAAGATAGCACAGCTAAAGAGATATGCTGAGCACAAATTTGATACTTTATAGCTCTCTCTTTCAAGAACAGGACATTAGGAAGACATTCAGTGCAATTCTATTAGTCCTTGTCATATTTGGGAGTGACAGAGTAAATCAGCATTCATATTTGGAAAGCTGAGTATTTACCATTCGGGGGTCACTTACCTTGCCTAGTAAAATAGCTTATAATTCGGTACAGTCTTTCTGATTTAAAAAGTTTGAATGTCCATATTTGGCTCCCTAGTTCACTCACATCATAAGTGTACACATACATCTTATTTTCTAAATGACTTTTAAAAAAAGAATGTAAGTTCTATGGTTCTTCAAATAAATGACTCAACTTTCATGTAAATGTCAAGTTTCTGTGAATAGGGATTAAGTCTAAGACAGCAGACCACATTGGCCAATTCTTACTGTGGAACATATTATGGATAAAACATTCATTATCATTCTAAATGTTAAGTGAGTGACAGAACAGCTATGAACACATGCAAAAGGCTTCAGACATAGAAAATGCTCTTGGGGGAAGTTTCCATGTGATGCTCATTTCTTGCACACAAGGTTTATATGGACAGTGCTTAACTCAAAAACTGAGAGTGTAGTCATTTTTAAATAGGGGTTTTCAGAGTTCCTTCTCTAGGACTGTATGCAGAAAGGATACATGCACACGTACAGAGAGAAAGCTATGATTTTTATATCACTTTGGGGATTCTTAAACGTGTGCCATACCCAATTTTTTAAACACACACACACACACACACACACACACACACACACACACACACACACACACACACAATCTTAATTGATCATTTTAAACCAAACATTTGTAGTTTTATTTATTGCGACTTTGCTGCATGGGACTTTGCTTTCATAAATCTATATGGGAAGAAGTTTGTCCTAATTTGCTGATCTGGGACACATTTAATCACAGTTGGATTTACACCCAAAAACCCTGGTGTGTTAATTTACATTAAAAAAAATGAAATTGGCATGGAAAAATTTTCGAAGTAACTGTAACTTTCTGGTTTTTTCAAAAGGAACTATTTCAAAAACTGAAACATGTGAGTAGGCACTTCAAAAAAGATAAAATATTTTATGTTTGTTTTTTGACTGACATGCTATAAAAAAGGATTATATTTGTGAGAAAATATACTGATTGCCAATATTTCAAATACCATCTTACAATGTATAGTTTTTAGTGACATTGTAGTATAAAGCTGTAATTTGAACCTTTACTTTGGAATGTAAAGTAGAAAATATTAGCTATGTCAATGATATCTTGCAAAGTGTTTCCATTTATAATTATTTATATTGTAAATAGCTTTCTGAAGTAAATTCAAAGTTAATGTGCATAAAATGTATTTATTATGTGAGGATTTTTGGTTTAAAATATAGTTACCAATATACAGCTTGAGTCTGGATTATTCATTGAGAGAAAAATCTCTATAGGACAAAACAGACTGTCAACTGGACTAGTACTATAAGGAAACATGAACAATTTTAGCTCTAGATTCTATTGAATGGGTAGCATCTCCTCCACTCAAATGCACACACAGACACACACACTTTGAGAGCTAGAAATAGAAGCTACAGGTATGCACAGCAACTATAAGTAATGGGTGTGATACTTATTAGACACTGGGGAATGGTTTTTCAATGTTTCATTAGGAGCCTTAAACAAGGCTCCTGTAGTCTCCACTTTACTAAATAAAGCAAGAAATTTGAAGATACATATTACATTTTTAATGTCTAAATGAAATCTGTAATATTGAGATTATCTCATTTGCTATCATTTAAAACACATTAAAAACACTCTCAGAATAATTTTTGTTTTGGAATTCAAAGCATTTTTGAAATTCAGAACCAGGATTTAAGGTCAAATACAAATAGATTCCTAGGTAGTTATCTCTTAAGCATTTTCATAATGGCCACGTGTTTTGTGTTTTTTTCTCCCAGAAATTTCTGACTTACTGTGAAGTGTTTCAGAAATTGTTAACCATTGGCCAATTCAATGAATCTATGTGATATTTTAAAAATTCTATGGCAATACAATATTTCATAAAACTTTAAAGCTAAATAAGATATCATTGCCATTAATATCACAGCATTTATCAGATATTTCCCAACATGATTCTTTAAAAATACTTGTTTTAGGACTTTTGTTTTCACCTACTTAACTCTCCAAAATAACTGCACTTCCAATTTAATCCACAACTTTTATTGAATACTTATTATGTGTCCCAAATGGGATAGGCACCAAGAATCTGTCTCATGGTAGGGTGTTATAAGAAAGCATATACAGTGGGTCTTTTATTTTTCCTTAAGTGCTTTGAAAGTATAACTCCCTTAGATAATCATTAAAATGACAAGCAGTTAGTGAACCTCCACAAGCCAGGCACTGAGCCAAGCTCAGGTCATCTAGAAGTCTGAGTAGAGACCATCACAGAGGGAGATATCCATATCCTCTATTTCATTGATGAGGAGATTGAGACTCCCAGTGGCTACATAACCTAATCACAGAGCTAGTGGGTGGTAGACATAAAATTTGAACC